CACCCACCCCCACCCAGGCTCTGGGCTCCAGCTCGATCCTGGTGCCTCCTGGCAGGTTGGGGCGGTCTCCCTTCCCCCTCTGCTCCTTTAAAGCCCCTCCTCTGCCAGGCGCGACTCGGGTACTCCCTGGGGAGTAGAACCCCTGCCGCCCCCTCCCCTACCAGCCCGCTCTTCTGCCCGGTGCCTCTCTTGCTTCAGCCATTGGCGGTGAGTAACCCATTGATCTGGCTCCCGGAGATGGGTTTTGCCATGGGTTAACCCCTCCATGCTGGCAGCTCAGCCCGGCGCACACAGTGCCACCCTCCCGCAGCTCCACTGTGCCAGGCAAGCCCCAGCCTGAAGTGAGAGCTCAGTGCTGGCAGAGTGGAGCAAACCCCCTTGGCTTGGCTGCAGATTCCCCCCCACCCACCCACTTTCTTCTTTTTCTTTATTTTTTTGGCTTTTTGGGTCACACCAGGCGATGCACAGGGGTTCCTCCTGGCTCTGTGCCCAGGAATTACCCCTGGCGGTACCCCGGGGACCATATGGGATGCTGGGGATCGAACCCCAGTCGGCTGCGTGCAAGGCAAATGCCCTCCCCGCTGTGCTATGGCTCCAGCCGCAGCCCGTGTTTGTTTCAAAAGTCGTCTTAAAGTTTGTTTTGAAATGACCCTGGGTGAGGAAGATGGGCAGAAGGGAGGTCAGGTGTCTACTGACCAGCAAAAGCTCAAGGCTGGGGCCTGGCTGTAGGAGTCAGTCCCGGTGGGCTTCTCAGAGGAATAGGCCTGCGGCCAAATGCTTCCAGAGGTCGGGGCTGGCTCCTGGGGCATTGGATTCTGAATCAAGGCTGGACAGAAATGGTGCTGGTGAAGGTGAAAAGTTAAAAAGTGAGGAACTTGGGGGCCGGAACATTAGCACAGCGGGTAGGGCGGTTGCCTTGCACGCGGCCAACCCAGGCATCCCATATGGTCCCCCAAGCACCGCCAGGAGTAATTCGTGAGTGCAAAGCCAGGAGGAAACCCTCAGCATTGTTGGAGGGCATTTGCCTTGCACACAGCTGACTGGGATTCAATCCCCAGCATCCCATAAGGTCCCCCGGATACCCACCAGAAGTAATTCCTGCGTGCAAAGCCAGGAGTCACCCCTGAGCATCACTGGGTGTGACCCAAAACGCAAAAATAAATAAAAGTGGGGAGGAAAGGGGAGAGAGGGAGTGTGGAGTCGTTCTAGAAGTTGGGGAGTGACAAAGGGAAGTGGGAGAGTTTTGGGGGGTGCTGATGGAGCAGAACGTGCTGGTGAGGACTGGGGAAGACTTGAGGAGGCCCTGCCCTGGCCTCACAGTGGGTCACTCCAGAGCCTGACGTCCCCCTGCCGTGGTCTCCCTGCATCTGGGGAGGACATGGCTGCGATATTAGGGCTCCTACCTCCAGCTGGGACCTAACTGCCAAGCTCTCAGCTGAATTCACGTGAGGACATTCAGGGGGGCCGAACCAGGCAGGGGGAATTCTAGCTCAGTGTGATGTTTGGGGATTCGGACAGCCCCCGCACCCCGCAATGTGTTAGACTCCAAGAAGTCCACACACACAATTGTGGTCTGATTCTTAAAAAAATTCCCTGAAATCCTTTTGTTCCAATATTTGGGCCACATGGAGCGATGTTCAGTGCTTACTCCTGGCTCTGCACTCAGGCATCGCCCCTGGTGGTGCTCGCGGGACCAGGTGGGGTGCTGAGGATCAAACCTGGGTGGGCCAGCGCCCTCCCCAATGTCCTATTGCTCCAGTCCCACTCTGCGTCCTTGACCAACTGCCCCCCGCCCCTTCCTTTGTAAGCCCCAAACGATGAATACTGTCCTGGCCAAGGCAGGGCTGCTTGAGGGTGTGGGCCCAGCAGAGCCAAGCTGAACCATGGACATACTCGTTGGGGGGGGAGAAGGGACCAGGGGACAGAGTCAGGTGACAATGAGACCCAACACACGTACATCACCACCTCCTCCTTGTCCTCCCGCCCTCCCGCGGCCATGGCTCTTTGACTGTCAGCAGGCAGCATGAAGTGACAAACACCCCAGCTCCTCCTCCGGGGCCCTTTCTGCCACCCCTTCTGGATAAAGGTGGCTGCAGCTCGGTGCCCTGTGCCACCAGCCCGGCGCCTGCACAGAGAGCAGCGAGGGCAGTGTCACTTCCTGAACTGCCCAGTAGGGGGCGCAACGCCGATGAACTGCAGAATGCGACAGGCACTCTGCATCCATCACCTGCTTTCCTGTCTCCTTCCCGTTTCACCACACCAGGTGACCCAGGGCCCGTGCTCTGCGGCTGCTGGGTGTGCCACACTGCCTCTGCCATGCGACAGTGGCTTGATCTGACCTGCAGACCTGGATAGATGCACTGGTTAAGCTGCTGGCTAGGTCCTAGGCGGGCATTGGGGCTTGTGCCCAGCAGCAGCTGTGCGCCTGGTTTCACAAGCCCAGCATGCAAGGTGGCACACAAAAGCTCCCGTGGCTACGGCAGCCCCCAACACGCGAATCCTGACCTCGGGTCCTCGGGAAGACGGGCTGCGACTCCCAGGACTCCAGAAAAGTCACAGGGCCAGGCCAGTTCACCCACTGCCCAGGCTCACAAAGGACTGGGAGTGTGGCAGCCCCCTCTCTCTTTTTTCTTTTTTGGGTCACACCTGGCGATGCACAGGGGTTACTCCTGCTCTGCACTCAGGAATCACCCCTGGCAGTGCTCAGGGGACCCTATGGGATGCTGGGAATTGAACCCGGGTTGACCGAGTGCAAAGCAAATGCCCTACCCACTGTGCTCTCTCCAGCCCCAAATGCCTCTCCTGTTAATGAAGAACCTTCCTGCCCTCCCTATAGCACCCAGCAAAGCTGACAAGCGTGATGAGGTGCTGTCCTGCTCAGCACCTACCGCCCCCATCCCCGCCAGGTGTTCCAAAGGCTCAGTGTGGGGAAGGGGTTCAGCACCTCCAGTGGTGTAGGGGGCGTGGGGCTAGTGTGGGACCAAACCACGCATCAGTGCTCCGGGAGCCTGAGTTCGCTGCGCCCCCTGGTGGCTGATCACGAGACCACAAGGGAGAAGGACCGGTCCCCACCCGGTCCTGCTGCTTCGAGTGGTTCAAGACAGACCTCGTTGTGGTTCCACTAGGTTTTGCCACAGGACCCGGGTGTGTAGGTGTGTAGGGGCCAGCCCACCTAGATTTGTCTGAGTACATGCGGCGACACAAACACCAGTGAAATCGCTTGATGACACGGTTCTGAGTGCTCTGGGGTCAAGTGGGGAGTAACTATTAGTAATTGTCCACTCTTGGGGCAGGCCAATAGGACCAGGGGAGAGAATGTTCGCCTCGCATGTGGCTGACGTGGTTCTATCCCCAGCATCCCGTATCATCCCTCGAGTACCGGCAGGAATAATTCCAGAGTGCAGAGCCAGGAGTAACCGTTGAGCATCACCAGGTGTGCCCCCCCTCATAAAAATTCACTCTTGATATAGGGTGGGGTAAAAAGAAGCATGCAGTGGGTGGGACCTGCCTAAGCCTTAGTCAGGGTCAAACTGAATTTAGGACACAGGGTTGCAGGGGCTGGAGTGATAGTAAATCATGTAGGGCGTTTGCCTTGCACACCGTTCAATCCCCCGCATCCCATATGGTCCCCCAAGCACTGTCAGGAGTGATTCCTGAGAGCAGAGCCAGGAGCAACCCTGAGCATCCCTAAAAATGAACACAGGGGGCTGGAGTGATAGCACAGTGGGTAGGGCGTTTGCCTTGCATGCAGCCAACCTGGGTTCGATCCCCAGCGTCCCATATGGTCCCCCAAGCACCGCCGGGAGTAATTCCTGAGTGCAGAGCCAGGAGTGACCCCTAAGCATTACTGGGTGTGACCCAAAAAGGCAAAATAAAAAAAACAGGGTTCTATATCTGAGGGTCTCTGTCCGGTTTTTTTTTTTTTTTTAATTTGTGGGCTATAGCTGGCAGGGCTCAGGAGACTATCAAGTTCCGGGGATCAAATCTGGGTCAGCTGTGTGAAAGGCAGCCTTGTAGCTGTCTGGAGCCAGCTATGTTCCAAACATCGCTGAACTATTTCTCCAGCCCGTGAAACACATTCTCTCTCTCTCTCTCTCTCTCTCTCTCTCTCTCTCTCTCTGCTTTTTGGAGACACCGTGAAGGTTGACACTCCTGACATTGTGCTCAAGAATCACTCTTGCTGGTGCTCCAGGGCCCATATGGGATGCCAAGAATTGAACCTAGGTCAGCCACGCATAAGAAAAATGCCCTCCCCACTGTACTATCACTGCAGCCTCAACCCACACTCTTTTCCGAGTCTTGAGACACTTGGCAGTGCCAGTCCAGCACCTGGGAGGGCTTCATGTTGCTGAGAATCAACCCAGGTCTCCTCCACAAAGGTACTTGGCCCATCCAGCTCTCTCACCTATGCCGCGGTTTGCTGGGGGCCTGACTCCTCAGCCTCCACTCCCCGATGTTTTTTTTTCCTGCCCTTTTTTTTTGAGGGGGGGGGTGGTCACACCCAGCAATGCACGGGGGCTACTCCTGGCGGTGCTCAGAGGACCATATGGGATGCTGGGGATTGAACCCGGGCTGGCTGTATGCAAGGCAAGCCCCCCTCCCCCCGCTGTGCTATTGCTCCAGCCCCAACGTGGGTTTCCTGTGCCCCCTTTGTTATCTGGGCAGCTGGGAAGAGCCCCTTTGGGTGGAGAGCTGGGGGCTGGGCGGTGTAGTCTGGATCTGAGGATGGGTGCTTGCCCACCCTCCATAGCACGGACCCAACTCCACTGGGTGGGGCCCCCCTTCCTGTCTCCCCTGCTGCCTGGGTCACATCAGAGCCTGGGGCGTGGGAGAGTGGGAGAGACTCCAGCCGGAGTGCTCGACTAGTCCAGGGCCCGGAGGGAAGAAAGTACACGAAAGGCATCAGGCAGTTTCCACGCTCTTGCTTCACGCCAGACCCCAACCCGCCACTCAGGACCTGGTCAGGGCCAGCCCCGGGGTCACGTGGGCAGCGCCGGGGCTCAGGGCAGCGCCCCGTGCAGCCGCCCCACCTCCACGAAGGCGTCCACGCAGCGGTCGATGTCGTCCTCGCTGTGCACGGCGGATATCTGCACCCGGATGCGCGCTTTGCCCTTGGGGACCACGGGGTAGCTGAACCCGATGACGAAGATGCCTGGGAGGGGACAGACGGCTGAGCGGGGGGCATGAGCTTCGGTCCCTCCTCCCCTGAGGCCCTTTGCGGGGTCTCAGACGCGGGACAGCCTCCTCAGCATCTTCCCAGCTCAGGCAGAGGGTTGGAGTGGGGGTGGGGGCGGGGCAGGGGGCGTGCCAGCCGAGGGGTCCCGCGGTCCTCACCTCTCTTCAGCATGTCGTCTGCCATGCGGGAGGCCAGCCGCGCGTCCCCCAGCATCACGGGGCAGATGGGGTGATTGGCTCCCGAGATGGTGAAGCCGGCCGCTTCCATCTTGCTGCGGAACCTGCGAGCACCGGGCAGTGTCAGGCGGGTCCCCACCCCACCACCCTCCCAGGGGCATGCCCTCCGGCAGAGTTGGGGGGAACTTGATGGAGATGCAGCGAGGCGGGGAGGAGGGGGGCGCGGCACCCCAGGTCTGGGCGCCCCCACCCGGGTGCGCACCGCTGGGTCTTGGCCGCCATGGACTGGACGATGCTGTTACTCTCCATGAGCAGGTCCAGGGCCTTGGAGGCGCAGCCCACCACGGCGGGGGGCAGGCTGTTGGAGAACAGGTAGGGCCGGGCGCGCTGCCGGAGCAGGGCCACCAGCGGCGCAGGCCCCGTCGTGTAGCCCCCTGCGGAGGGCAGAGGTCCGGGAGGATGGTGGTCAGAGGCCTCCCGAGCCCCTGCGGGGAGCAAGCCCCGTACCCCCAGACTCCTACCCGCAGGAAGGGGGGGAACAGGGCGGGGCCTATGGGGAAGGGGCGTGTCCCGCACGGAAAACCTTGAGGGGGCGGGGCTTGCGTGCAGGGTGGGGCATCAAGCAAGGGGCTGGGTTTTGGAGGGGCAGGGCCTGTGGGGAAGGGGCGTGTTCTGCATGCAAAAGACCTTGAGAGGGGCGGGGCATCAAGCAAGGGGCTGGGTTTGGGAAGGGCAGGGCCTGTGGGGAGGGGCGTGTCCTGCATGCAAAAGACCTCAAGGGGTGTGGGGCATCAAACAAGGGGCGGGGTTTGGGAGGGGCAGGGCCCGTGGGGAAGGGGCGTGTTCTGCATGCAAAAGACCTTGAGAGGGGCGGGGCATCAAGCAAGGGGCTGGGTTTGGGAAGGGCAGGGCCTGTGGGGAGGGGCGTGTCCTGCATGCAAAAGACCTCAAGGGGCGTGGGGCATCAAACAAGGGGCGGGGTTTGGGAGGGGCAGGGCCCGTGGGGACGGGGCGTGTCCCGCATGCAAAAAACCTCGAGGGGGCGGGGCATCAAGCAAGGGGCGGGGTTTTGGAGGGGCGGGGCCTGGTGAAGGAGAGGTGGGCGGGGCTCTAGATCTTGCACACCTGATGCTCCCCCCAGGGCCTTGCCCAGCGTGGAGTTGATGATGGTGACCTGGTCCCTCACACCCAGCAGCTCATCCGTGCCCCTGCAAAATCAGAGGTTGCTGCCACCGCGGCCTGCACACGCCCGCCCGGCCATGGGCACGGTCCTCCCTGTTCCCGCCCAGCCCGAGGCCTTGGAGCCGTGTGCGCCCACCGTCCTGTGGCCCCCAGGAAGCCAGTGGCGTGGCACTCGTCCACAAAGACCAGGGCGCCGTAGCGGGAGGCCAGGCGGCAGATCTCCTGCAGGGGCGCGACGTCACCGTCCATGGAAAAGGCGCCGTCCGTGGCCACCAGGCGCAGCCGGTGTTTCTGCAGAAAGACGCCAACGGGGGAGGGGGTGCTGGGTGGGGACAGTGGCTGGGGGGGCCTAACCCTCCTCCTATTGCACTGCCCAGAGCTTTAGGAGCACACATGCATGGCGTGGAGGTGGGACACGGGAGCGGAACCCTGCTCCCCTTTCTAGGGAGGTCCTGCCACGTGGTCTCCCCCACCCAGGGGTTTGTGGGCAGGGCCAGTTCCGCTCTGGCTCCTCCCACCCAAGCTGCCACCCAGCAGCACCCAGGGAATCAACACCGGGTCAACTCAAGGGCTTCCTGGCCCTTTCTGGCCCAGGGGCGGGCAGCTGGCCTCTGGACAACAAGGAGGGGCTGGAGGAAACCTGGCCCTTGTCCCACCTGGGTCTCCTGCAGCTTGGCCTCCAGGTCGGCCATGTCCAGGTGGCGATAGCGGAGCTTGTGGGCCTTGCACAGCCGGATGCCGTCAATGATGGACGCGTGGTTCAGCTCATCCGACAGCACAGCGTCCTCCGGGGTCAGCAGGGCCTGGGAGAGGTGGGTAGGATCCCGCCAACTATCCACCTTGGGGTCCCCCGTTCCTCGATGGGTTCACCATGAAAATGCACGTGGCAGCCAGGGGGTGTCTCCAGCAGGGAGGGAAGGAGCCCACTGCTGCGTTAATGGGGGTCTCCAGAGCCCCAGGGCTGGGGGACACACCAGCTTGGTGAGTGCCTGGCCCCTTCTGTGGGATAACACTGGTTTGTCCCCGCCCCCCCAAACCACAGCTTAGGTCTGAGTTACACCCATCACAGTGCTCCCCGCACTCCCATCCCTGTGTTTAACTTCTTTGTGCTCTGCTTCCCCTCCCTGTTAATCAAGATATCCACAAATCAGACCCTGGGAATAAGCAAGGTCAGATTCTTCTGAGGATTCTGGATTTTGTATATGCTAGCGAAATATTGCTTTTCTCTTTCCTGCATGCCCTTTGCTTTATTTAGAGGAATGTGCTTGTTGTATAGACACAGGAAGTTGATGCTATGCTTTTGTAACTCGGGAGTTAACTGACTCTGAATATATTTACACCTGGGCATCTGTCATATTTACTCAACGTAAGCCTCAGTTGCCTTAAGTTTCTAACACCTGAAAAGCAGGGTCCCGATGAGGGAGTTGGATGGACCCAGGGCAAGCCGTGAGCTACTCTGGCATCAAAAAGGGTCGGGCCAAGCACCATAAAACATGTAATAAGTTAAGAGCATGGTTATGGACAAACACTGCCATGACCCCCAAAGAAGTAACTGGACAAGGACCCTGCTGAGGTTAGGAAAGACTAACCTGGCCTGAGGCAGTATTCTGGGATATAAAGAGAGATGTCTCTGGGAGAGCCACCAAGCTTAACATATCTCTTATTGTGTCCATACAAAATGACTAGAAAGGTTTAGAATTTTTTTTTTTTTTGGCTTTTTGGGTCACACCCAGCGATACTCAGGGGTTCCTCCTGGCTCTGCATTCAGAAATTACTCCTGGCGGTGCTTAAGGGACCATATGGGATGCTGGGCACCGAACCTGGGTTGACCGCGTGCAAAGCAAATGCCCTACCCGCTGTGCTATCGCTCCAGCCCCTAGAAGTAAATTTAAGATGACTGTTTAAGTAGCTTTGGACTAAGGAAAGGAGAAATACGCCTTTAGATGGAATTCCGCCTTGGGCAGATCTTCCAGTAGGGTGAGGTTCTGTCCTGTAAGAGCTTCCCCTGAAGGAAGAGCTTGACTATCTGTGGCTCGTACAACCACTGTAGCATTTTACCACTGTCCTCCCCTTGTTCATCAATTTGCTCGAGCGGGCACCAGTAACGTCTCCATTGTGAGACTTGTTACTGTGTTTGGCATATCGAATACTCCACAGGGAGCTTGCCAGGCTCTGCCATGAGGGTGGGAAACTCTCAGTAGCTTGCCGGGCTCTCCGAGAGGGACAGAGGAATCGAACCCGGGTCGGCCGCGTGCAAGGCAAACACCCTACCCGCTGTGCTATCGCTCCAGCTCAGATAAGAGGAAGTCTTCTTCAAAATGAAAGTTTTACTCTCCCAGAACCTATGGACATAGAAAATGTAATACTAAAAAGTAAATTCATAGCAATAAAGGCCTCCATGATGAAATTTTAAAATAATTAATCCAAAAGGATCAAATAAGTAATCTAATGTCAAATAAGGATCAAATAAGCAATATAACTTCAAATATAGGGGCTGGAGCGATAGCACAGCGGGTAGGGCGTTTGCCTTGCACGTGGTCGACGCAGGTTCGATTCCCAGCATTCCATATGGTCCCCCGAGAACCGCCAGGAATAATTACTGAGTGCAGAGCCAGGAGTAACCCCCGTGCATTGCCAGGTGTGACCCAAAAAACAAACAAACAAAAAAACCCCAAAAAACAAAAAAACAACAACTTCAAATAAAAAGACACTTGAAAAAAATAAAGAGAAACTCTTAAGTAGAAGGAAGAAAAAATTAAAATGAGTAGAAATAAATAACAAAAATTAAGAGAGCAATACAAAAGATTAATGAAAACAAGCTTGTTCTTTGAAAGAAAAAATAATATCGACAAACCCTTAGCTAGATTCACAAAGAAGAGATAAAGCTATCACAAATTGTTTCAGAAAATAAAGGGGAAGATTTATAATAGACATTGCATAAAAGCCTGCAGAGAAGAAGAAACCAAATGCCACGAGATCTGTCACACCTCCACGGGTTACATCAGGCCTGAACCCAACCATTCAGAAAGCTTCAAATTATTGAAACAATAAATACTGTTCTATACGGGTGACCGGTTATGCGTTCTATGGCCACATTCTTTATTTTGCGGAAAAGCTGAGCCTTAAAACTCAAAACAAAGGAACTTACTCAGTACCTATGTGACACAGGAGTCTCCTGCCCCTGCGCCTGGCTGTCCTCACTGGGCCCCTTGGAGGGGGGCGGGTTGAGTTTCCTTCCCGTCCCGAGCAGAGCCTGGGCAGCTGAAGACCTCCAGAACCAGCCACAGCCAGGCTTAAGACCACTCTCCACATGCTCGGAGGAGCCTCAGGCATGAAGGAACCGGTAGAGGAACCCAGGTGTGCGGGACCCGGGGCTGAGATCTCCAAGCCTGCTCGGATCAGGACTGGGCCGCCTCCACCCAGATCCCCCATCTTCCAGTAGCTGGGCAGTTACACCCACCAACTGCCCCCACCGTATAATCCTATCAACGGCCAAGATCCAGAGACTATAAAACCAAGCTCCTGGAAGCAAATGCGGCCGCATGACCTCTTATTGTCCAGTTCTCACTCTCAGAGAACCCGGCAGGCTACCGAGAATATCCTGCCCGCATATATGTCTGACTGGGAACACCTGTAAAGGTGATTAGAGGCCGCCCCACAAGCCTCCATCCCTCTTGAAGAGCCTGGCAAGCTACCAAGAGTATCCCACCCGCACGGCAGAGCCTGGCAAGCTATCCATGGCATACTTGATATGCCAAAAACAGTAACAATGATGGTCCTCATTCCCCTGTCCCTGAAAGAGCCCCCAGTATGCCATTGGGCTACACTAGCACATGACAGGGACGGATGGTGACATTACTGGCGCCCGCTCGAGCAAATTGATGAACAATGGGATGATAGTGATAATGATAAAATGATAATGATCGCATAAAAGCAAAATATTGTAAGACATTTTTGTAAAAAGAAAACTTTATCCCACTAAAATAGATAATCTATATATTGTTTTCTTTTTTGGGTCACACCTGGCGATGCTCAGGGGTTACTCCAAGGTCTGCACTCAGTAATTAGTCCTGGCAGTGCTTGGGGGACCATATGGGATGCCGGGAATCAAACCGATTCCGCCGCATGCAAGGCAAACGCCCTACCCTCTGTGCTATCACTCCAGCCCCTAATCTATAATTTGTAAAAAACAGGGGCTGGAGCGATAGCACAGCGGGTAGGGCGTTTGCCAGGCACGTGGCCAACCCGGGTTCGATTCCCAGCATCCCATATCCATATGGTCCCCTGAGCACCGCCAGGAGTAATTCCTGAGTGCAGAGCCAGGAGTAACCCCTGTGCATCGCTGGGTGTGACCCAAAAAGCCAAAAAAAAATTAAAAATACACTTGCGCGAGGAAGGGATGATGTGTTTTTGCAAGCTCTCTCTCTCTCTCTCTCTCTCTCTCTCTCTCTCTCTCTCTCTCTCTCTCTCTCTCTGCCTGCGTTCAGTGCAACCACACCCATGTGTAATTGCTACCCCCAACCCTTGATGAGCTCTCTATAACTTGGAGAGAGGATAGAAGCAGGGGAGACCCCGCAAGAGGGGCCCAGTGAGTCTGGAATAAACGGCGACAGATCACCAACCAGCCTGGCGCCCGTTCTCTCTTTCACGTGTCCATCACCATCGGCCAGCGGGGGTGGGGACACGCCTCAAGGCCCCCGATGCCCACACTTTGAACTCACACCTTCCAGTTGCTGGGAGTGGCCCCGCCAGGCAGCCCAAGATTTTCCTTCTGGACTTCCAGAAGAATCGAGCCCTGGCCCACCTTGACGGATGGCACTGCCAGGTTCTCGGTTGCTCCTCCCAAGCCTCCCACGAGCAGCCCCTCCCCCCCGTCCATGCCCGCGTATACCTCAAAGAGGCCGGCGTTGGCGTCGAAGCAGCTGGGGTAGAGGATGGCATCCTCCCGCTGGTGGAAGCGCGCGATCTTGCTCTCCAGGTCTTTGTGGATGCTCTGGGGGCAGAGGGGAGTCAGGCCTGCGTGGTCCAGGGGACGAGCGGGTCCCATTCTTGGGACAGAAGCTTAGCGGGCCCAATCACAGCCAGCGCAGAAGGCCCCTAGCCAGCCTCGTTGTCCCAGCCTGGTTTATTCCCCCTTTGCTCAGGGGCTGCTCCTGGCTCTGTGCTCAGAGGACCACACGGTGCCAGGGATGGAACGGGGCTGGCCACACTCCGGGTGAGGGCTTTTTTTTTCTTCTCTTTTCTTTTGGGTCACACCTGGCAATGCACAGGGGCTACTCCTGGCTCATGCACTCAGGAATTACTCCTGGCGATGCCCGGAAGACCATATGGGAGGCTGGGAATCGAACCCAGGTCGACCGCGTGCAAGGCAAACGCCCTACCCGCTGTGCTATTGCTCCAGCCCCGGGAGTGAGTGCTTTGACCCCCACAAGATCTCTCGGTCCACTCCTCCCGTCCCACCATGCTTGCTAGATTTGTGGCTTATGGAGGTTGGAACGCCAGCATGACATACGGTCCTCTGAGTATGGACTGAAGTCCCTGGGCCCAGAGTCAGAAGTGGCTGGGTACGGCCCAACACCAAAACACACCAAAAACGTAAAAGAAGCAATAGAACAGCAAGGAGGGCGTTGTCGTGCACACGGCCAACCTGGGTTTGATCGTCGGCACCCCACAGGGTCCCCTGACAACCACCAGGAGTGATCCCTGAGCACAGAGCCAGGAGTAAGTTCTGAGCACTGCTGGGTGTGGCCCCACCCCAAAACTAATATATGTGGCTGGAGTGATAGGACAGTGGATAAGGGTGTTTGCCTTGCATGCGTCAACCCAAGTTCCACCTCCGGCACCGCATCGTTTCCTGGTCCCTGCCAGGAGTGACCCCTGAGCACAGAGCTAGGAGTAAGTCCTGAGCACTGTTGAGTAGCCCCCCTCAAATCCTCTCCCCCCAACCCAAACAAAAGAACCAGTTTACTCCCTCACACTGCCAAGGGTCACTCCAAGAGCACGGCAGGGGGGGCTGGAGCGATAGTACAGCAGGGAGGGCGTTTGCCTTGCACGTGGCCAGCCCGGGTTCGATTCCCAGCATCCCATATGGCCCCCTGAGCACCGCCAGGGGTAATTCCTGAGCGCAGAGGCAGGAGAAACCCCAGTGCATCGCCAGGTATGACCCAAAAAGAAAAAAAAAAACAAACACGGCAGAGTAAAGTTTAACCCCCCCACCCCAATAAATAATTGCAAAATTAACAATTGCAAAGTTGACCCAGAGAGATAACTCAACTGGCTGGAGAGGATTCCTTGCATGCAAGAGGCCCAACTTGGATCCCTGGCATCATATTGTCAGCTGAGCACTGCTAGGAGTGACATCTGAGTTAACCCCAAGTCCTGCATCACTGGGTATACCCATCCCTCCCCCCCGCAATAAAAAGAGAGTACATTGGAAAGAAAGCTTGTTTAAGCCTTGTGTTTCCGGGGCACAGAGCGTAGTACAGGGGGTAGAGCGTTTGCCTTGCACACGGTCAACCCAGGTTCAATCCCCGGCATCTCATATGGTCCCCCAAGCACAGCCAGGAGTAATAGGAGTAATTCCTGAGAGCAGAGCCAGGACTAACCCCTGAGTATCGCTGGGTGTGACTAAAAAAAAAAAGCAAAACAAAACAAAAAGTCTTGTGTTTCTGGCATAATTCTTTTTTTTTTTTTTTTTTTTTTTTTTGCTTTTTGGGTCACACCCGGCGATGCACGGGGTTTCTCCTGGCTCTACACTCAGGAATTACCCCTGGCAGTGCTCAGGGGACCATATGGGATGCTGGGAATCGAACCCGGGTCGGCCGCGTGCAAGGCAAACGCCCTACCCGCTATGTTATTGCTCCAGCCCTCCGGCGTAATTCAGTTCAGTGTCATAGTCACACTAGCCCATGGTGACGAGGCAGTGAAAGGCAGCATGGCTCCAGAACCCTCATGTCTGGCCCTTGCCTTTATCCCACCTGTCCCTGGGGCAGGCGTGAGCCACTTTTGGGCACATGTGTGCGTACACACGCGTGTAAGGAACGCGAGGTCGTGTCTAATCCCAGACCGCACAGCCCGAGGCCAGCCTTTCTGGGGACACAGCGCGAACCAAGCCGGCTCCCCCATCCCGGGTGATCGTGGGAAGCTGAGCTCCGGGGCCCACGCCACTCCCTCGCAGCCCTGGGTACCTGCGTCCCGCAGATGAACCGGACAGAGCTCAGGCCAGCTCCGAACTCCTCCAGGGCGCGCAGCCCAGCCTGGATCACCTCCGGGTGGCTGCTCAGGCCCAAGTAGTTGTTGGCACAGAAGTTAAGGATCCCTGTGAGGAAGGAGAAGGCGGGCACTGCGGCTCAGGGGGGCGAGTCCCTGAGGCTGCCACGTCAGAGGAAAAGTCCCCTCTCCCCCCAGAGCCCATTCTGCTGTGGGCCGATGCCAGGATGGGGTCCTGGGGGCCCCTGAGAGGGGCTGAACCCAAGAGCCACCCCAACAGAAGCTTAAATTGGTTCAGAATAGCACCTTCCAGGGGGTGGGAGCGATAGCACAGCAGGGGGGGTGTTTGCCTTGCACGCGGCCGATCCGGGTTCGATTCCCAGCATCCCATATGGTTCCCCGAGCACCGCTAGGAGTAATTCCTGAGTGCATGAGCCAGGAGAAACCCCTGTGCATTCCCAGGTGTGACTCAAAAAGACAAAAAAAAAAAAAAGAATAGCACCTTCCAGGCAGCTGTCCAACCCAGCCATCATTGAGTGTCCCCGCTGAGGGCCTATGCAGCCTAACATGAACTGATCAACCCGGCAAGACAAAGGCAGGAATCCTGGATTCTCTGATTTCTTCATCTGACCTGCTCCAAGAAGCTTCTCCAGGAAAGTCTGGGTTCCCCAGCACCTCCACTGCTTACCTGGGCAGACGGCAGGTTTGTGGGCCTCTGTAACCATCACTCACTCGGCCTGCACTGCCCAGGTGAGGCAGCGGCCCCCCACCGGGCATCCTCAGGTTCTTCTCCAGGTGACCTGGCCGTGGATTGCCCTCTGGCCTTTCTCCTCCCATATACCAATGGCTCCAACCACAGCCCTGCACATGTCTGAGCTTCTGTTTCAGCCCTTACAGGTGAGATTAGTCATTCCCAGGTTCGTTTAGAACTTTGCACAAGGGACCAGATTGATAGTACAGCGGGAAAGGCAATTTCCTTGCACGCAGTCGACCTGGGTTTGATCCCGGGTATCCCATATGGTCCCCCGAGCACCGCCAGGAGTAATTCCTGCGCACAGAGCCAGGAGGAACCCCTGAGCATCGCTGAGCGTGACCCAAAAAGCAAAACAAAGAACTTTGCAAAAGTCCACGTGTACCTAGAGGCCTGAGCAAACTTGAGGTTCCCAGCGGCCGCCTTCCCGTGCCCACTCCGGGAGGGGTAAGGTTGGGGGGGGCGCCAGCTGGGTTCTCTCCTGTTTTCTCACACTCTCGGGGTGAGGTCTGGATTCAACCCCGCCCGCGACGCCAAAAGTGCTGAAGGGCCAATCCTCTCCCTCCGCGGAAACGGGTTTAACCAGGTTGGAGTTGGTTTTAGGCAGCCCGATGGAAGGGGGGGGTTAGGTCTGCGGGATAGATAGATAGATAGGAAAGGGGCCAGGGGCCACGTGTGCAGCCGCGGTCCTCTGCGCCCAGCGCCCAACCTCGGCCCGGCGGCGAAGGCTTCGCGGGCCTCGACGACCCCCCGGGAGGGCGGTTACCTCCAGAGACGCCCTCCACGTGGATACTCGGCCCCTGGGGCGACGTGATGACCCGCTCGCTCTTCCAGGTGCCGGCCCCGCGGATACTTTCCAACTCTCCCTCCAGGAGGCATCGCAGCTGGGCCAGCGCCGACTGCGCGCGCCGGCCGTGGGGGGCCCCGGCGCGGGGAGCTCGGAAGATGCGCGCAGCCCACATCGCTCCCACTCGCTCGGCGCGCCGGCGGGGCTGGCGCCGGCCACGCGGAGGCCACGCCCCGTCACGTGGGCGGGGGCCGGGCCCCGGCGGCCAATCGGAAGGGCAGATTTCGGTAGGGGGCGGGCCCGGTGCGGGTGGGCGGGGCCCGGCGCGGTGGCGGAGACTTCTTGAGGATTGATTTGCGAATCGAGACCCCGGCGCTCCCCGCCGCGGGAGGCGTGGCGATCGGGCGGCGCAGTGGGCCCCGCCCCCCGGACCCCTCCCCATTTCTCTCCAGCCTACACACCCACTTCTCGGACGGAAGTGCTCTCCTGCACCCCAAAGGCAGGAACCGAGAGGCGGGATCTGCTTGCGCTGTACCCCTTGGCTTGATTGCAGGCTGCGTGGGCTGTGCGGAGCCCTCCCCATTCCCAGGCACACCCCCGGCCCCCAAATTACCCCCATTGAGTCCCGTCTAATTCCTCCGACTTCTCCCGGTCTTCCGAGTGAGGAAAAAGAAACCACCGCTCAGGATTCTTCCTTTCTCGATTTTATTTTAAAGTTTTAAAAGGACAAAGACGGCAAATTCTTTCCGACACAAGTAACACTGGTTTTAAAAAAAATGGGGGGGGAGGGTAGGTGGGACGCGCGGATAAGCGCGTTGTCCTCCTATTTTATTAAAAATAAGAGAGAGGCGACTGTACAGGTTTTTTTTCTCCAGCTCCCGGGTGTAAAACGTAAAAACTAGCCCTAGCTATGTATATGTACATATACACATACACAAACAAATACACACAACGTTTAGCTCTGCAAAACTACTTAGCAATTCCAAATCGACTGCGGTCCATCTTACCGTCCACTCCCCGCCCACTCCCCTCCCCCACCTACAACTACTTGGGCAAAAAAAAGAAAAAGCAAAAAGCAATCCCCGGAAGGAGGTCAGTGGTCGCTGGTGGGACTGGAATCCCACCAGATCACCAGACAAAGCCACTTCTAAGTACAGGAGGAACCAAAACCCGGGGGGAGGGGGGAAAGGAGAGAAAGAAGGAAATTTCAAAAAGCCCTCCCTCCCAGGATTCCAGTCCAATTGTGTGGAAAAAACCCACGTTTCAACAGGGCACGCTGAGGCACTTGACTGACTCCCCCACCCGCCTCCCAAAGTTTCCGCTCCCCTTGAAGGGGAGACCGACCACTTTCGCGACTCGCAAAGGACCCCCGAGGGTTCATTTCCAAGTCTCCGCTTCTCTAACCAGAGCCCCCTCCCTTTCTCCCGGACAATAGGCGAGAAGCGGGGGGCGGAGGAAATGGGTTAGGACCCCCGACTGCTCAGCCCCGGGAGGCGGAGGTCTGTCGGGAGAGGGTTTTTTTCCACCTTCCTCCTGCCAAGCTTCAGAAACCTCCCCCCAGGGGTGCTCAGCTGCGAGCTGGCTCGCTGGCCTTCACGGTCCTGATCTTCCCAATCCCTCTCCCCGCCCCTCCCCTCCCCTCCCCATCCCCATCCCTCCCCTCTCCAGCGCACCCCCATCCCCCCGAAAAAGCACCCCCCCACCTCCCCGTGTAGAGTAATAACAAATGAACCCCAAGCAGTTCCCATCAGGACGGGGCTGAGAATTCTTGCACGCCGGCTGGAAGCGGGGTCCTGGGAACCCCCCGTTCTCCTCCCAAGTCAGACGAGAGAAAAGGGGCGAGGGGCGGGGAGACGGGCGGGGGGGAGCGAGAAGAAAGGAGGAGAAAGTATTTACAGAAAACTAGGAGGCGGGCAGCAGGGTCCACGCGCGCGGGGGACACGTCGCTGTCACTTCTTCTTGCTGGCCCGCTTGGCGCTGGACTTGGCTTTGGGCTTCCCCGACTTGGCCTTCTTGGGCTTGGATGCCCGCACGGGCTTGGCTTTGACAGTCTTGGGCTTTTTGGCTTTCTTGGGCGTGGCGGCCGGCTTCTTCTTGGCCTTCTTCACGGGGGTCGCCTTGGGCTTCTTGCCGGGGGTCTTGGCGGCCGCCTTCTTGGGCTTGGCGGCCGCCTTCTTGGGGGTGGGCGCCTTCTTGCCCTCCTTCTTGGTCTTCTTGAAGGCCACGGAGCGCTTGGGCTCGTCGCCCTTGGCCAGGCGGAAGGAGCCCGAGGCCCCGACCCCCTTGGTCTGCTTGAGGATGCCCGTGGTGACCAGGCGCTTGATGGACAGCTTGATCTGCGAGTCGGCGTTCTCGCCCACCTTGTAGTGGCTCTTGACGTACTTCTGGATGGACTGGCGCGAGGAGCCGGCGCGGTTCTTCTCGGCCTGGATGGCGGCCACGATCATGTCCGAGTACTTGGGGTGGTCGGTGGACTTCCTGGCGGCCTTGGCCCGCTTGGGCTTGGCGGCCGGGGTGGCCGTGGAGTTCTCGGTCATGCTGCCAGCGGGGAGACGCGCGCGCGCGCGCGGGGAGACGCGCCTGCCTGGCCGAGGGCTGGGGAGGCGGTGGGGAGGACCGGGACCGGCCCCTGGGCCGGGGGTCCGAGCGGGATCGCGCGCCCGGGGCGGGCTGGCGGCTCGGGCAAGCCCCCCGGAGGCCCGCGCCGAGCTGGACGCCTGGATGCCTGGATGCCCGGGGCCCCGGCGCGGGTGCGAGGGCGACGCGGGGCTCGCTGGGTCCCGGCGCGCGGCGCGCTGCTCCGCCTCCCGCTGCCCGGCGCCGCGTCTGGCGCTCGGGCGGGCGCATCCGGGTATTTAGCGGCGCCGGGCGGACCGCGGTGAGGACAGGGCTGCTGGCTGCCTGCTCCCGGCCCGGAATGGCGCCGCGCCGCCGCCATCTGTGTTTCTTCCGCCGAGCAAATGCGCCCTTTCCCCGCGGCCCGGGGCCCGGGGCCCCCCGCCGCCGCCCGGGGTCGCTGCCCGGATCCCCGGGCTGCCCCGCCGCGCGCCCCGCCGGCCCCGGGGCCGCTCCCGGCGCCCGCCACGCGCCCCAAACGGCGCCGAGCAGCGCCGGGGCGCCGGCACATTTCCCCTTTGCGGGGGGCTGGCGCGGCCGGGCCGGGGGCCCCCCGCGCGGGGGACCCCGCGTGGCGAAGCCCCCCCCTGGGGCTCCCGGGCATCCCGCCCCCGGCCCGCTGCGGGGTCCCCCCGGCCGGCAGAGCCACCCGAAAGCGGCCCCAACTAACACACGCCGCCCCGAGCCGGGCGACTCCCAGCCGGGCCGAGCCGGGACAGGGGGGAGGGGTCGCTCCCCCGGGGGCCGGTCACCTCGCGGGGGTCCCCCCGCCACCGGGACCCTCGCGCCTCCACCGCCCTCTCTGTCCGCGGGGCCCCCCCGAGCAAACTTTCCCTGCAAGAGTTGGACAAACTTTGTCCCTGCCCCCCGCCTCTGCGGGCTCTCCCCCTGCGCGCCCCTGGCCTCTGCTCCGGGCCCCTCCCTCGAGGCCGGACCCCCATACCCCGCGGGGTCCCTGAGCGAGGCCGAGGGGGCCCTCCCGGGTCCCCCCCGCTCTCCAGAGACCCCTCCATCTCCCATACACCCTAGCTGGGACTCCCTTTTATCCGCCTGCCACCGCCTGGAAGTTTGGGGGTGTCAGAGAGAGGGCTCGCCGCCCGCGCCCCTGAGGTCCAGCCTGGGGGGGTGCCCGGGCCCCCCCTCTCCAGGCTCCCCGGAAGCCCTGGGGGGAGGGGGCCGGCCACAAAGGGGTCGCACAGCCCCCAAAGGCTCTGCCAAGCCTAACCTGGGGGCCCCTGGGAGGAGAAGTCCTGAGCGCCCTGTGTGCTTGGGGAAACGGGGTTCTGGGGGGCCCGGGGGGAGGGGGAGCTGCCGCTCCCGGGGTCCCGCCTGGTGGCTGGGGAACTGTTCGGGGGCGCCGTGCCGGGACCACCACCGCCATTTTGCTGGAGGAGGCGGTGTCTTTGTTGAAATGTGCAACGTTCCGGGGCTGTCTGGCAGGTACTGGAGCACGCACGAGGCTGAGCCTGGCGGGCTGCGCCCCAGGAGATGGCAAAGGGACCCCCCAAGTGCCTGGCACCGACCTGCTCTGCCACTGACCTGCTCACGTGCAGGGGGGCCAGGGGCCCTGGGTGCAAACTCTGGGACGCGCAGCCCCGCGCCCCCGACCACGCCACCCACCCACCCACCCACGCGCTGCGCTCCTGGGGCGCACAACTCACTTAAACAATGCCCGGGAGTTGGGGGGGCTTCCGAGCTGGGCAAAAAGGGAACCGAGACCCCGGGCTGGTCCCGGAGCTCTTTTGCAGACGCTGGTTTGTGGGGAAGGGGACGGGGTGAGGGGTGGCAGGTCAGGATGGGGGTGGGAGGGTCGGCTGGCTGGAAGATTCTAGTGGGACTTGGGCATCCGGGGCCGAGGCAGCTCAGTGGGTGCCCCCAACACTGAGGGGTGGACTCATCCAAGTGATCTGGAAGGAAGGAGGGTGCCCCGGGCTGGCGAGGGGCACCTCTGCCCCCCACCCCCACCCCACCCCACCCCCTTATCTCCGCGGCCCGGCTGGGAGGGGACCGGGACCGCGATAAAGGGCCAGGTTGGTTCAAAAGGTCAAGGTACTTATTTGAATGATGATGTCAATTTACCCCGAAGTTTCCTGATTCGGAAACAAACAGGGAACCGGTGGGTCGGTCGGGCCGAGCTCGCATCAGGCATCCCGGTAGCCACCCTCGGCTCGCGGGGACGCGTGTCCCCCCCACCCCACGCCCCCACCCCGTCGAAGCGCTGGCTGGGTGCAAAGGCGGGGAGGTGACATCGCTCTAGCACCGCGGCGCAGGACACTCGGCCAGGTGTCTCCTGACCCCTTTCGGGACCCCTCTGCGCTTCCAGCCTTGGGGAGGCGGCCCACGCCGTGCGCCCCGCCCCCCCATCATCACCCCCCCACCCCAGTTTACCGGGGCGGCCCCGAGACCCTTGCGGGACTGATGGGGGTGGGCGGGGGCAGCGCACGGTGAGGCTCATCTCCGGGGGGACCCTCCCAAGCCCCCCCACTGCCTGTTGTCGCTGCGCACATCCCGTGTCCCCGCCCACCCCAGCGACCTGTAAATTCCCTCCCGGAACTGAAGCCAGAAAAGGAGGGGTCGCCGCGGGGTCCCGGGGCTCCCCGCCGGCGGACAGCTGGGGTCCCGCCCGCGGGGGCGTCCACTGTGCGTCCCTCGGCTTGGGGGTCTGGGGGGGAAAAAGAGGAGAAGCCGGGAAGGGGGTCCCCAGGAGTTGGGCGCAGAGTCCGGGGCCGAGGGGGGTGCAGAGGGAGGGAAGGGCGCCCCCAGAACTGGCTTCGCCTCGCCTCGGCCACACTGCAGGAGCTGGGGGCTTGGCCCAGCCCGCCCGGCAGCCCCGCGGGGCGCAGAGAGGGTTTCGGGGCTCCCCGGGTCCTTTCAGGCGGGCCCTTTAAAATCAATCCCGGGACCTGCAGCCGCGGGCAACTCCTGGGAAATGTAGTCCCGGGCGCCAACCCCGCTCCGCGCCCCCCACCCCGGGCGCCGCCGCCGCCACGGGAGGGACCAGCCCCGGCCTGGCCCCTCGCCCCGGGTGGGGGGTGGGGGGCGCCCTAGGCCTCCCTGCTCGTTATTCGCCCTTAGGGTCTGTTGGGTCGCGAAATCCTCTATGGAAAAGTGTGAATCCCTTGAAAAAGCCCATGGTCACTTTTTTCTCTTTTCTCTGTTTTTTTTTTTGTTCTTTTTTTTTTTCTAATAAGTGACTCAATGCTCGTCCAACTTGGCTCATTCTGAAGCGAGTTTTTGGGCGCCCTGGTGCAGCCTGGGCTGTGGGAGCACAGCGCTGCCCTTGGTGTGCCTGGCTGTGGACCAGGCCGACCTTGCTGCCCTTGGGTGCAGCGTGCAGGCACCTGGCATCCCGGAAGGCAGATGCAGGAGCCGGTAAAGAAGGGGATGAGGAGGCAGGAGAGCGCCAATGCAGAGGCAGGAAGGGGGAGGGGCTGTGACGCAGAGCTGACAGATACTTTGGTCCCTGACACATCCCTGACACTTGTCCTCTGTCCCAGTGGAGCACCGAAGACGGAGCTGGGGACCAGAATGACAGGACAGCGGGGAGGGCTCATGGGATCGAGTTCATGGGTCGGAAGAGATAGTACAGCGCTGGCCTTGCACGTGGTTGACCCGGGTTCGATCCCAGCATCCCATGTGGTCCACCCAAGCACCGCCAGGAGCGCAGACAGGCGCTCTGGTCCCAGAGAAGGCTTCTTACGATGCTGACGTTTGGGCTGGAGAGATAGTGTTGCAGGTACGATGTGTGCTTTGCACGTGGCTGGCAGGGGTTCGATACCCGGCATCCCCTGTGGTCCCCTGAGCACTGCCAGGAGAGACTCCTGAGTGGAGTGCCAGGAGTGAGCCCTGAACTTCACCAGATGTGGCCCCAAAACCAAAGGGAGAGAGAACGGGAAAAGATGCTGATATTTGAGCAGAAACATGAAGGAGGGAAGGGCCAGTGGAAGCCCCTGCCAGGCCTCCAAGACAGCCAGCTCGGGGCTAGAGGGATAGCACAGCGGGGAGGGTGTTTGCCTTGCACGCAGCCGACCCAGGTTCGATTCCCAGCATCCCATAGGGTCCCCCGAGCACCGCCAGGAGTAATTCCTGAGTGAAAAGCCAGGAGTAACCCCTGAGCATTGCTGGGTGTGACTCAAAAAGCAAAAAGTAAAATAAAATAAATAAAAGTTTACCTCAAGGGGGGGCTGGAGCGATAGCACAGCAGGGAGGGCGTTTGCCTTGCACGCGACTGACCCGGGTTCGATTCCCAGCATCCCATAGGGTCCCCCGAGCACTGCCAGGAGTAATTCCTGAGTGAAAAGCCAGGAGTAACCCCTGAGCATTGCTGGGTGTGACTCAAAAAGCAAAAAGTAAAATAAAATAAATAAAAGTTTACCTCAAGGGGGGGCTGGAGCGATAGCACAGCAGGGAGGGCGTTTGCCTTGCATGCGACTGACCCGGGTTCGATTCCCAGCATCCCATAGAGTCCCACCCCCCCCAGCACCGCCAGGAGTAATTCCTGAGTGAAAAGCCAGGAGTAACTTGACACCCGGCACCGCATGGGGTCTCCAGACACCCCTGACAACAGAGCCAGTAGTAAACCCTGAGCACCGCTGATGAGTGTCTGCCCCTAAAATAAAAATGAAATAAAAGGGGATGTCAAAGGAGGCACGTCACATGGGGGGTTGTGGGAACTGTGTCTTCTACCTGGAGTGACAGAGAAGCCTGAGAGGGTCCCTTAGTCACTGTCAACCCGCTGAGAGCGGCTAGGAGGGACTGTGACCATCCCACTGAGAGACCCGAGCAGGGGGCAGGGGCGTGAACGTGGAGGCCCTGTCTTGGGTCCCTGACGCTTGCGGGTCTCCTCTGTCCCAGCAGGGCACAAAATACGGGATCTGGGGGCAGAGCGACAGAACTGCAGGGAGGGCTCATGGGATCTGGTTCAGGGGTGGAAGAGATACCACAGCGTTGGACCCTTGGCGTCCCACGTGGTCCCAAGCACGGCCAGAAATGACCCTTGAGTGCAGAGCCAGGAGGAGCCCCTGACCTCACCGGGTGTAGCCCCCAAACAAACTAGCGAACTAATAAAAAGGGCCCCTGTGGAAGTGGAGTGGTCAGTGAAGGAGCCAGTTATTGGGTTCTCCGACAGTTCTGGAAAAGGCCTCCAGAGGGAGACACTGAGCTGAGGAGGACGCAGAAGGGTGCAGGATGCCCAAGCGGTGGGCAGCTGTCGGCCCTGCGGGGCCAGTGGTTGTGCACGCCCACTTTATTCCTGACAGGTCCTTTCTGGGAAGCGGGAATGGGGGATTGTAGAAATTGACTTTGGGGGCCGGAGCGGCAATCAGGCGGAGAAGGCGTTTGCCTTGCAAGAGGCTGACCAGGGTTTGATCCTTGGCATCCCTTATGGTCCCCCAAGCACCATAAG